GAGCCGCGGTCCCCGCGGTGTGCGGGGAGAAGCCTGGAGCAGCTGCTGTCCCGGTCGTGCCGGCGTGGGGGTCTGGGAAAGGGACCCTCGCGTGAGATAAGGAAAGCTTAGAGCCAGGGTGGGCCTTCTCGAGTGTCCCCTGCCACAGGGAGGTACTTGTGGTTTCCCAGTGTTTGATTTCAGGTGCTTGGAGACCAAACTGACAGCTACCCAGAAACTGTTTATTCCCCCTGAAGTGTTTCTTTCAATTTATCTTGCCAGACTTATGAGCGTTGTGTTTTGGAATCTGAGAACTACTATAGCTGTTTGAAATGGGCCTTGAACTACCTCAAACCCTGCATGCCAGAGTAATAGTCAGTTTTTGGAGGTAACTTACGCACTCTCTTGTTACACCTGAATGCCATTTGTTCTGTACATCCTGGCCTGTGAGGCAGCAGCAACCATCTTTTGATTCCAGGCTTCTTAGAACATTCTGCAATTAATCTGCAGCCTCGCTTCATCATCTTCTGTAGGCCACTGAATCTTTTATTCGTATTTTTACAATGCACCAGATTCTGCAGAAGAGCCTCATGGTGCTCTTTCTGCAGAATACTCGATAACAGCATAGTCAGCTCGCAGTCTGGCAGGACAATGGATTGAGAGTGCTCCTGAAGGATCCTCACAATAGGGCCAGGTGAATTGTTTTGTCATCCTCTTCCTGATGCCATCTTCCCCTGGAGCTTAGTGGCTCTTCCTTAGCTGCAGTGGCTTCACTGCACACACGTCACACAGTATATCCATACATCTGTTTGTTCTCCAGGAAAGGAGGTTGCTAGCATCAGGCTGCATGAATTGTCTATGGTAGTCAGCAGGTTCTTTTGTGTTTGCCCTTGAATTTTTCCCAGGAAGCAGGCTATGTGGAATATGCATCATGGGCATGTGGCCCAGTCTCAAGCAGTCCTTTCTCCAAGGAGCAACTAGGAGAGTGCCCTGTGTGTAGGTGTCTATGCGCAGGTAGAAAGTTAGCTGTACCAGATACCTACATACGGGTGCTGTCTTATACCTGGGGTGTGTATAAGGCTTATATGCAACTTGCATAGTGAGCCTTATACATATGGGTGGTATATTCAGCACTTCCTTGCACAGGATGTCAGTGGCTCTGTGATGGAAGAGTCATGGGCTCCAACCTGCTGTTGCCATTAAAACAGGCTGGTTGGTCTGCGTTGTCTTTCGGGCTCTGTTGCAGTACTACTTGTTGGGAATGGTTTCTGCATCCTGTAGCAGAGAGGAAACTGAGCTTTGGTTTTCTACCTCCTGGGTATATTCAACCATTAGTTAATGTGTGAGAAATGTGCGGTAGCTCCATATCTTTTATGCGTGTCTTAGAAGCAAGTATCTGCATGTTATTTGAGAGCCTCTGCACACAGCCTGAAGCTGTATAAAGATATTTTTGAGTACCTGTATGCTATGGGAAGAAAAATACGTAGGTGTGCATAGTTAACTTCAAGCAAGTGTAAGCTCATTCTACCTGCAGCCAGGCTGATAACTCAGGCATGGTGCCACATTAGTGACCATTGGTGAGCAGCTAGCCACAGCATGGGCAGAAAGCTCATGTTTGGCTTGTGGTCAAATATCCAAATCTTACTTTTTTCTTTCTTTCATTCTTTTTGAATCTTGTACATCGTTCTCCGTGTGCTGGATTCAGATTAACTAGGTGCTGTCAAGGATAGGCACGGACACATGTTGCTTTAAGGCTGCCTTAAAACTTGAGGTTTTTCTGGAAGTTGGCAATACCTGAACAGATTTCCAGTGTAGTGATATTGGACTGAAATGCCTGTGCTTTGCTTTAGATTTGTCTTCTGCTTCCAAAGCTCAAAAAGCTCAGGTGCCTTTGAAGTGATCTCACATTAGAAAAGTCACTGTTATTTCATATACGTTTCTTGTTGCTGTAGTTAAAATCCCTCAGAGCGTCAGTGTTGCCTTGCTGCCTATTAGTTCCAGTCTTCAAAGGTGATATTTCATCTAAGTGGGATTTTGGGAGGTAAAGAAGATTATTATGGTCGAATTTTTGACTGTTGGGATGTATTCAGGGAACAGCAAGGGACTGCTGTTTTCAGAAAGAACGTGTGCAGTAGTACTGAAATACTTACGTAGCAGAAAACAGACTTAAAACACCACTAGCAACTTGGATTTGTTATACTGTAAGAGCCACTTGACTTTTTGGCTTGTCTCTTTGAAAACTGAGCAATGCAGTTGGTGATAAGAACAGAGTGAGAAGGGACTGCAGTTTATCAAGGCTAGTTGTCGGTACTTCTGAGCAAATGCAGTTTGTGAGGACACTTATTCCTGCTCCCACCTAAGTGTCACCGAATCACAGAGTGGCTGAGGTTGGAAGGGACCTCTGGAAGTCATCTGGTCCAGTCCTCTGCTCAGGCAGCATTACCTGATTGTCCAGGACCATGTCCAGATGGCTTTTGAGTATCTCCAAGGGTGGAGACTCCACAACCTCTCTGGGCAACCTGTGCCAGTGCTGTCATCGTCACAGTGAAAAAGTGTTTCCTGATGTTCAGATAGACCCTCCTGTGTTTCTGCTTGTGCCCATTGCCTCTGGTCCTGTCATAAATAAACAAGCGTTGCAGAGTCCTGGCCTGGGGCTTCAAACATGACCAGTTTGCGGGCAGTGCTAGCTCACATCTCGCAGGGTTCTGTGCTCTGCTGCAGGCTAGCACTGATCATCCCAGGGAAGGCAAGTGAAGAGGTGGGCGGAGTTGTGCATCTAGTGGAGAGAAAGGGAGAGCATTCTGTATGGCATGTTTGGGTAAACAGTAAATGATCTGATGCCTGAGAATAATAAATATAATGCCATAAACACATGGCAATCAGCCCTTCCACAACGCTGACTCAGCAGATTGAACATCAAGATCCTGGTATTGCAAGAGTTGGTCTTCATTTTCAGATTATTCCTCTCCTGTTGTGCAGTCTCTTGCATAGATTTGAATGCAGCTTTTAAAACAGCTAAGTTTATTGCTCCAGTTATTTTAGAACACAATTTTAGCAATTTGCTGTGCTGTTGGTTAGACATGTTCTAAATTCCATTTCATTGACACATTTAACAAAAAGATCATCTGCATTTAGCTACTGCCTGAAATTTGCCTCTCCTAACCAGATACTAAGGAGTTCTGAATGTTTGTCATATGTTGCCAGACAAACAGTTTTTAAAGTTGTTGTTCCTGAGGCTTTTGAAACCATTGATCAAGGGAAATTTATTTCATGGATCATATCAAGTAAATCTTAATCCATTGTATTTATCTGAATAATGCTGATTAGTTGGCATGTACATAGGTTTCATTTTAAAAAGCGAATAAAAGCATTGCAGTGTTTGAATGCCAAGTCAGAAAATGTGATAGTAAGGTTAAAACCAATCTTTGCCTGTGCCATCATTTCAGTTTTCATCTATATCGGTTAAAATCTGCAAAAGAAAATTGCATCCCTGCAATGGTAATAATGCTTGAATTACTAAACTTCTGCGTGTTAAAAAGGACCGTTTTGGTCAAGTTCAGAAGAGCCTTTTTGTTTTAAAACAAATTGTGTTGCTGTTAAGCATTTTAACTGGAAAAAAAAAAGCATGGCCAGAGAAGGGCAACAAAGCTGGTGAGGGGTCTAGAGAACAAGTCTTATGAGGAGTGGCTGACGGAACTGGGGCTGTTTAGTCTGGACAAAAGGAGGCTGAGGGGAGACCTTATCGCTCTCTACTACTGCCTGAAAGGAGGCTGTAGAAAGGCGAGGGTTGGTCTCTTCTCCCAAATAACAAGCGATAGGACAAGAGGAAACAGCCTCAAGTTGTGCCAGGGAGGTTTAGATTGGGTGTTTGGAAAGATTTCTTCATGGAAAGTGTTGTCAAGTGTTGGAACAGGCTGCCCAGGGAAGTGGTGGAGTCTCCATCCCTGGAGGTATTTAAAAGACATGCAGATGTGGTGCTTAGAGATGTGGTTTTGGCAGTGTTAGGTTGATGGCGGACTCGATCTTAAAGGTCTGTTCCAACCTAGGCAATTCTATGACTCTATGAAAAAGGCAAATTATTAGAAATATGGAAAGGAAGTAGTGGTAGTGGTTTTATAAAGAGAGTGAATTCCGATCAAAAAGTTCTTGTGTCCATTGTGCTAAAGATCTTGAAGACACAAAGTGTTGCACAAGTGTTAAAGTATTAATAAAGCCAGAACTTGGTGAGACTTCTGTGTTGGGGGGAGGTGTGTCAGAGTTCTTTGTACTGATCTCGCTAACCCTGTTTTTCATTAACTTTTACATATTTTTCTAGAATATGCTTTTAAGGCCATAAACCAGGGCGGACTTACATCTGTAGCTGTTCGTGGGAAAGATTCTGCAGTAATTGTAACACAGAAGAAAGTACCTGTAAGTAGTCCGTTTTTGAGGGGGAGGCTGGAAGGAAATATGAAAAAAGATGGGAGTGAGACTCTGCCAACATGGATATTACATTTATTAGCATTGACATATATTGCAGTTTGAATTTAATATCTTATTGTCGTTCTGCTTATTACAAGTTCTAGCTCCATTTAGTGCTCAACTGTACATTTCCTCACCAAGTACTGTAATATTGGGTTTCTCTGTAGCTGTCAAAGAATTGAAGCTAAAATATAGAGTTGGGTCTGCTGCATACACTATGGCATGCATATGGCATGCATACACTACTCTGGCTTGTAAGGGCTGAGTTGGCCATAATTGGTTTCCTGATTTCTTTAATTCCTACTCAGAAAATGTTACACCCGTCACATGGAGAACAGATTTTCATGAGTGTTTCAGCACAGTGGTGATGTATTGTTGACAAAGGGGGAAGGCCCTTGTGTTTGAAGGGCAGCATGCAATAAGGGCTCAAGTTTTTGTATGTGTGTTCTCAAAGTTTCTTCAGAGGGAAAAAGACTTTGACATTGGTCATGCTCTAGCCTTTTCCGGATATTGAGGTTTTTATCTTGCTCATTATCCTATTTCTTCCTTCACATGCCTATAGCAGTAAATAGTAGAGAGCCTGAAAGACATTTTTTAGCTGTTAGTTGATCTTTTTTTTTTTTACTCTTCTGTAAATACCAGAGCATGCAGAGTCTGTCTTTTTCGTACTTGAAGGACAGTGCTTTCTATTAGTTTATTTCTATTTCCTCTTTAGGACAAGTTACTGGATTCCAACACAGTGACTCATTTATTCAGAATTACTGAAAATATTGGCTGTGTGATGACAGGAATGACAGGTATTTAACGCACCATCTTTTTAAGTATCTGAAGTGTGTCAATTTTTTTATATAGATCGCCCGCTTTGCAATCACATAAAACAAATAAGTGCTCTAGGAGAGTTGTTCCACTTGGTCTGGTTTTGGAGAACTTGTCTAGTTCTAATATGTGTATTTAAGACAACTTAAAGTTGAGCTTGAAACTTGCATCCTTAAGCAGTGCTAGGAATAGAGGTGGTACTGTTCAGTGAAATTAACATGAGTTCTTTCTGTTTAGCTGACAGCAGATCCCAGGTGCAGAGAGCCCGCTATGAGGCTGCTAACTGGAAGTACAAGTATGGCTATGACATCCCTGTGGATATGCTGTGTAAAAGGATTGCAGATATTTCTCAGGTCTATACGCAAAATGCTGAAATGAGGCCTCTTGGTTGCTGTAAGTATAGTGTATGAAATTAATCTTTTCTGTTTCTTGTCTAAGCTTGCAACTTCAAGTATAAGAAATTATCACCCATTTTCAAATTGTGCGAGATAGGGATGTAACTGAAGGAGTAAGAGGGGTGAACAGCCAAATGAGAGAGCAGTGCTGGAAGTTTTGAATTGGAGCCACGATTTTGCCGTTGACTCAGCATTTGAATTGGAGTAAATGATTTAGCCTCTTTAAAATGTACGATACTATTTCACCTTAGTTTTTCGGGCCTAGTCTGTTTGCTCTGCGCAGTGATGTCTGTGAACGGGAGATGCTCTTTTTACTTGTGTCTCTGTCTGGGTAAATATCACTGTTAAAACATATGGAGAGTGCAATTATGTTTGTGCAGGTTTTGTGGCTTTCTTACCTAAGTAGTATGTATAGGACAAAAACATGCATAATTTTTGCTCTTCACTTAACCATAATGCATATATAATGTAGAGCAGAAGTGCTTAAAAATATTTCACTTGCAAACATTTCTACAGCAGTCTTGTTTTAGAACAGCAAATGCAGCTTAAATAAATACAAAAAAGATGCGTGTAAAGTTGGTTTGGTAGATATTCCTGGTCATCTTTGTGTTCCGAGATTGGTTCTGACTTGTTTTTTCTCTTACATTTGGCTGTGAGCAAGTTATAACCATACTGCTGGGCTGTCCGGGAACTGAGATAAAAGGCCGTGTTTCCTCAATTACTTTTTCATTAAACTTTCTGTTTGCTTGGGTTTTGGTTTTTTTCTTTTAAGGAGAATGGTTTCAGAATTGATGAATCACTTCTCGTAATCATAGTAGGCACTAGCACTTCTCGCTAAAGAAGTAACGTTCAGGGTTGCACCACAGTTTCCATGATGGGGCAATTTTCCTATGCTTGTCATGTTCAGGAATGATTGTTTCTTTCTTCCTTTGGCATTTCCCATGCCTTGATACTGCTGGAAAGCATTGTTGGTTTGGTTTTTTTTAAATACACGAATAAAAATGTATTCTTCTTAACTTTCCTTAACCTTTTTTTGAAAAGATGATGGGAAATTTTTCTTCTGTTGTAGTAATTGCTGCTCAGAAGCTTATCAGCTGTAACTATTAGTTAGAAGTTACGCAAGAGTAAAACAAAAATAATTTAAAACCTTGACCTTGTTCTGTTGGATTTTCTTGCAAGTATTGCTTTTGAGTTATTTTTAATATGCATATTGTGACTATACAACTGTAAATGTAGAAGTATGGGTGAACACAGATGCGTTTCAGTGATGTGACCAGTTAGTGTTACTTGAAGTCTGTCCAACTTTAAAGCATTTAGTCACGTGGTCTTCAAAGACTCAGTTTTATGTTCTGATATTTCCACATCTAATTTTGGATCTTTTTTTCCTTTAAAGAAAAGAGGAAAAGGGATGTAATACAGTGCTTTGCAGGATTACAGTCGAGAAATCTAAAGTTGATCTCTTAATATTTCCATTAATTTCAACATATTTGTAGACTTGCTTTCTGGTAAAAGGCACATGTTAATAGAATGATTATTTACGCTTTTAAAGTGTCATACAATATATAGGAAGTGAACTTTGGTTGCATTAACTTTGTATTGGAATTAATAATTTTCTATTTCCTGACTTTGTGGTTCTCTACACCTGAGCGTGGCAAAAATGTTTCTATGTTTAATGAGTAGCCTTCTTTGAGAATGATAGAAATCTAGTTTGCACTAAACTGGGTTGTGCACTTGGTAATGAGGTGCTGGTAAGAAATGGCAAATTAGAGCTAAAGAGCAAATCGCAGTGCTAAGTTTTGGACTGGTTCACAAAAATGTACTGCTGTGCTTGTACAGTTTTCACAGGAGAGGAGTATCTATTCTGTTCTTTAGTGAAATGAAATTGCTAAAATTGGGGAAAGAAATCAATTAACAATTTTTCTCTTCAAGGTATGATTTTGATTGGTATTGATGAAGAGCACGGCCCTCAGGTATACAAGTGTGATCCGGCAGGTTACTATTGTGGATTCAAGGCCACAGCTGCAGGAGTTAAACAGACAGAGTCAACCAGTTTTCTTGAAAAGAAAGTAAAGAAGAAATTTGATTGGACATACGAACAAACAGTAGAGGTAGGCCAGCAGAAGGAAATAACGATTTGTTAAAGTATTTTTAATGAATATGCTGTATGTAGGCTTGCGATATAGCGGAATGCAGTTAGGTATTTCCTGTTTTCTTACAGTTCTGTATTGCTGCCAGAGCAAGTATAGCTATTCCAACCAGAAAATCTTTTGAAGGTATTTTGCAAGTGTTTAAATGGTCATCTAATCTGCTTTTTCTAATTTACATTAGCTGAAGCAGAATCTGTCATTGTAGCACTCCCACTGTAGCTGGAGGTTGGTTACTACAGTGGTTGGTTGTGGGGATACCAGTACAATTTACGTGTAGTGGCACTTAAAACAATCTTCATGTTAGAAATCATTTCAAACAGGATGGGGTAGTGCTTGTCTGTCAGTTTAGTAAATATCACACCAGTTGTTACGCCTACTGTGAAAACTGTTGTTCAAGACCCATTATAAAAAGGTATTATACTTATAAAATAGGTCCGTGAACTTATAAAATAAGTCATCCTTACTTTTTTCACTTGTACTGTAGAGATCTCTCTAAAGAGTCCTCTTCCATGGCCCACCTGTTTCTCCTGCCAGGCTTTGTTCTTCTCTCATAATGTTACGTTTCCTGCATCAAAAGATCAGCAGTTGAAATGAGAAATAATAATCTAAGCAGCTGACTGCCCTGTAAGATTAAACGAGTGTTGCATTGAGATCCCTGTGAATGCTATGCAGATTCGGACCTTCAGCTAAATTACTTCTGAAGTCTACATTACTGTGAAAGTACCATTTAGGCAGAAAGTTCTTCAGCATAAACTCATAAATTTTATATGTATATCTTGATAAGTACTGATATCCTTTACATGTGATTTCTTTAAAGAGAAGGTCCTGAGAGGGTTAAATTATTATAGCATACTGAAATTGAATGTTTGAAATTTCCTCAGAGATCCTTTTTTACCCTGGCTAAATATTTTTCGCATTAAATGTATTTTTCCATCTCTGCTTGATTATGCTTTGCATGTTTCTTAGTTGAGCTGTTGGAGGTAGATGAAACAGTGTTGTCATTCTTGTTTTTAATTCATAAAACTTCCATGTTATGGTGCAAATACTTAATTGGTAATTAATCTGCCAGTCAAATCCCAGATGGGCTTCTATACCTTTTTTTTTTGTCTTTGGAAAAAGGCTGAGATTGTGAATGTAGATCAGACACTGTTACTCTGAAAGTCGGTAGTGACAGGGAGAAGCAAGTCTATCAAACAAAAAGAAGAATCATGTTTTTGTAGTGTTCTTCATACACTGGCTTTTTTTAAAAGCTGGTGGTGTGTACAGGTAATGCTTCAAGGATAAGAATTTTGTTTGGGGTTTTGGGTTTTCTGTTTGTCGTTGGTTTTGGGTTTTTTTTTAACAACTTGAAAGTCTTCTGATAAGATATCTATATAGTTTTATAGAATTATTGCACAATCAATGTATTACCAACATATTGAAAATAAACTTTAGCAAAGTTTTGTCTGGTGTTCTACACTTCTTAACGCATTACTGATCAGAATTAAATGCTGGCATAACTGATTTGATAAGCATCTAGCTACACAGCTGTTTTATGGAACTTTTTGTGTTGAATCATCATTTTAGGAATACATCTTTAGCATTATTATGACCCTACTGCAGGGTTAAGTATAAGTGAGGTTGCAAAGACTGCTTTTTAAAACAGGTGATGGTTAGGTTGGAAAAAAAATAAATTAAGCCATGATGAAATGCAGCCTTTAAAAGCAGCCAGCGTAATTTTAATTACCAGAAGAAAAGGCAAAATGGAAGCTACGCAAGTGGTGTGTGCTTTGAGTAATCTTGGACTGTAATGATGATGTCTGTCTTGTTTGCCACTAGTGAAACATGTTCTGTCCTTGGGACCTGGGGTTTTAACCTTTGCATGATAAGAGGTTTTGGTTTTGTTGTGGTTTTTCTTCTGCTGCAAGAAAATGACACATCCCTTTGTTTTTTGTAGGCTTTTTAGGGAGAGGACAAGAGAGGGACTGTATTCTGTAACAAGGGGAAACTATTTGAAAGCTGAGGTTTTGAGGTGGAGGGAGATAACTTAAAACTAGAAGGAAGGGTCGTTGTTAATGCTATGTCTATTTAAAAAAAAAAAAAAAGCCAGTGCTTGCTGTTTAATGATAGGGTTTTTTGTCGTCTTTCAGACAGCAATAACATGCCTGTCTACTGTACTATCCATTGATTTCAAACCTTCAGAAATAGAAGTTGGTGTAGTTACAGTGGAAAATCCTAAATTCAGGTAAGTGATCAGTGTTGATAAAAATTGGTGTGTTTCTCTGGTTATGTGCAATTGGTTTTGACTTCTTGTGTAATGGTAAGTAGAGAAAAAGATAAAAGTCAGAAGTGGAACTTTTGGAGGTTTTTTTTATTTATTTGTAACTCTTCAAAATGTGTAGGGGTAAAAGACGTTGTTTTAAAAAAATAATAACACAGTTTTAAAATGTTTGACATGGTTAAGAGATTCAGTAGACAAAAGTGTTACCTTTTATTTCTTAAAAGGGTATTGCTTAATACAATGATTAAAATGTAGTTACATCTCATCCAGATGATTTTTCATGCTTAAATAAATAAAAAATTTTCTTTGTACTAGTATCTGGAGTCCACTTCCAAATCATAGTCATGACAACTAACGCAGTAAAGTCTGTTTTATAGTTGGGAAAATTTTGCAAGTCCCTTAATTTTTATTTATCCTTTTTTAAATGGGATCTTTAAATGACTCTTGCTCATCTTGTCATTGTAGCACTTTTTAACATCTTCAGTATATAGTTAATAGATTCTGAATTCGTATGATTTGAAATATTCTGTTTAAATTTGACAAGATTAAAAGATCCTGGATTTAAAAATTACTGCAGTGATTTGGAACTGGCTGAACTTTTACTTTCTGAGTACACTGCATTACCACCTAGCATGAAAGCAAGACACCTGCAGTTTCCTCCCTCCCCTGTTACTGCCTGAATATGAGTGCGGCGCACTGTGTGCTGCGAGGTTACTTGGTCAATCTATCAAGACAACACCTGGAAATCTGCCTGCTGAGGGCCATACCTCACATCTGATACAGCGTCCTTGACTACCTTCTCACAGCACAACATATAGCTATGGAAATGTGCGTGAAATGTGGGAGAATAAGTTTGGGGGCTTTTTTGTTAATGCAAAAAGACATTCCAGGTATGTCTTACCTAAAGTTTAGTTAAGGCAGGCTTGCTGCAGAGGAGTTCAGTTATTTCTGCCTTAGTTTTTCATTGCTTTTTATTTTTTTTATTACAAAAAAAAAAAAGGGAGAGAGCAACAGGTATGTGGGAAAGAAGTCCTCTGCTGCTTTAGCTTATCTACTTGGTAGGTGGGATTTGGAGAGAGGTTTCAAACCTTTGGGTCCTACAGGTGCAGCCTTTTGAGTGCTTCCTAATGCGTTTAAAGTTGGCATGGTGATGATGGATGGGTTTGCATTTGATGGTGTGTGTTTACGACAACAGAATAGCATAGGGTTTTTGAGAAAGCATGCAGTAGCTGCATTACTGCTTTTCTACTGCTGCTCAGGGGTCAAGCGCTAGCTTTCTGCCAAACTTCATTTACCGGTCTTATGTCCTTTTCAGAAAAGAGGGATAACAAGCAGAGGGAGAAGGCTATGAAAACCTGTGTCCCCCTTGCAGTAACCATACTAATTACCATACCCATTCTTCTCGCTAGGTCCCAGCTTGCAAATGTATTACTCATGAGGAATTACCTGTTCTTTTTCTGATGTTTGTTACCTCTTTGCTCTCTAGTGCCTTTGATTCTTCCTTTATTTTTCAAAAAGGATTGGAATGTCGGCCTGTGGCCCTGGCAGCTGTGCTTTAAACAGCTGGAAGACCTGTTGTATAAAACTTATTTGTGTGGATAGCAGGTTGTAATATTGGAGCTTAAGGGGAAGAATCATTTAAGCTATTTAAGATTTCTTTTTGTTCTTTCAGGATCCTTACAGAAGCAGAGATTGATGTGCACCTTGTAGCTCTGGCAGAGAGAGACTAATTAGCATTCCCGTTTCCATTGTCTGTGCTTCTGGCCAGAATATTTGGTGAAAAGAAAACACTTATTAATGGCTTTAGATTATGGGTGGAAAACAATGTTCACTATATGATGTATTTTACTCTGTACAAATAAAACAGAGGTTTTTGAAATACTTGGTGTCTCCTTTTGATGTAATTATTTTTAAATTTCAGTTCTATGAAATTCTTATCAGAATGCTTGATGACTTTGAGCATTTCTGTGATAACTGCTTGCCTTTTAGTTGTATTTTAAGAGAAATTTTATACTCTGCACTGTATTTTTCATCTGAGTTATTTAGCTCCTAGTGTAAAGTTTTCTATCAGATTGTGGGGTGTGATAATTCTTACATTTACATGTGTTCTCTTCTTGCCCTGATGTTGAAAGGCTTATATCATTGCTGGTTTAACTGTGGGGAAATTAAGATCTTAATGTTTGCTCAGGTTTAGGACAAAAGTTGAAGGAAAAACTTGAGCTGCGATTCCCAGTGCATTCCTTGAGGCTGATTTATTTGTGGTGCAGGCAGTGAATTTAACGGACATCTGCTATGATAAACAGCTCTGAAGCTAACATACATTTAGGGAAACAGTTTCTGTGTGCAGTGTACTTTGGGATTTTGGCTGTTTGTCACCTACCTGGTTTTGAGGCTTTGAACAGTGCCAGAAACAATGTTGCGGCTGGGTGGGGCCAATAAGCAAAAGTCCATCAACAAGAATGTCTCTGGGAAGCAATTGCCCTTGCTCCTTTGAAGGTTCTGGGTTAGGAGAAAAGAGGACTGCAAAAACTTGGGTAAAGGTGAAGAAAAATGCATTTTTGTTTTGCTGCAATTGCAGAGGTTTCAGCCTCAGCAGTAAAAGGGGGATGATGAAGTTGTGAGGGAGGAGACACTGAGGAGAAAGGGAACATTACCGGCCATTTTTAGCTGTTGGGTAGACATGAGAGTCTTGGAAGAATGCCAAGCTAATACCATTTAGCTCTTTACCTTCAGTTCCTCTGCCATGCTGTTCCTATATTGGCTTCAATAACTCCAAAATTCTCTTTAATTTTTTTTTTTATACCTTTGGGTAAGGCCTCCTAAGTCATCAGAAACTGGGTTGCTTAATTTTTTTCTTTTTGCTTTACAGTTAAAGCCCCTTGAATGTGTATTTTTCAAGTTCATTGTAGTAAAGAAGATGTAATTATGTGTTTGGTGGTTTTAATAAAAGAAAATGCGAACCTTATGTCACAACTGAGTTGAGGAGATTCAAATGTATTGTGAATTGTTCACTTTACAAAGATGCATGAATTTCCATTAGTGCCTCCAAATTTCAGCTTCCCTCGTGTCAGATAGTGTAGTATAGATGATAAGATGAAGCCACCCTTGCTTCTGGTTTTGGGTTGGTTATCTGAGAATTATGTATGGCTTTGTGCAACAATTGGCAGAACAAACACTAATGGCCCGTTTGGAAAGATCTGTGTTGTTCCAAGTGACAGCTGAGTTTCTGAAACTTCCTAGTTTCTTCCTAATACTCCAGTTTTATAACAACCTGAAATTTGAGTAGACTTGTCATTTACTCTGCCATAAAATATAATCCACTGATATTTTGTTCTTGATCAGCTTTAACTATGTATATAAAACTTCACTAACGACAAAAAGATGATAATCAGGGATCCATGTAACTAGAGCACATTTGCATATTATTTATCATTAAAACTCCCTGCAACACCTTTAATTCTAAATTTTGGAGCTTGTATATGGTTGTGTAACTCAGGTGGTGGTTCTGAAAGCAATGGGTGTTTGTTCATACCTTACAGTTCTGCAATGCAGAACACCCTATCTTGTGTTCAGAGATGATGAAATAAGCTGTCTACAATACATTAACTGGGAATGTTGCATCTTTTTTAATAAGCGGAGTTAAAATTGCAGGAACTAAAATGTCATTTTTGCTACTATTTTGTCCTGTAGTGAGAATTCATGGCTCTTTTCATACTGGTGATGGGGGTGTTTTTGTTGTTTAAGATAAGGCAGTTTTGCAGATGGGGATACTTGACCTAGTGGGAAAACCCCATGTATTTCACATACACATGATCGTGTTACTCACACCCCGAAGCAGATAGCACCTGCAACGAAGCTGTATCTGCCATGGCTTATGTTGAACTGTACCTGGTATCACCTGGTGTTCCAAACCTGGCACTTGCAGAGAGACTAGAGTATATGATATGATAGAGCTTATCAGGAGTGATACCAGAGTTGGGCTTGCTCCATATATTTGTGGTTCGTTGTGCCAGTGCTGAAAACTTTGGTAGATGGCAGTTACAGCGTGATTGCATGAGTAGTTAAGCAGGAATAGGACCAAGTCCTTTTGGCATATTAGACCCGGTACAGTGTTAGCTGTACTAAACTCAAAATGGCTCTACACAGCCTTGTAACTGTGTCCACGTTGTATTCCCAGGTCTCTTCATTTGTGGTGTAGAGTATAAGGATGTAAATGCCAAGTACATGCAGTCAGCTTAGGTAAATCGGTATTTATTGGACTCTGTGACAAGCATCCAGATTTCTTATGAGCAACCCCCCAGCTCCCAAGGGGGGCCCAAAAGCAGTAACAGCATGTATTACAGACAGAAATAGCTTCATAAGGAATAGCTTCATAAGGAATCTTAACACAAATAGTCTGTGGGTCATCAGGAGCTGTCTGTGTATTCATCCTGGAAACAAGAGATGTTAAGGCAGGCAGTAATGAACCTCTCTAGGATTTCAGATACTTCTGAAGTGCAACATGTGGTACTGAGTCAACTTGTAAAGCGCAATGTTAGATGGTACCTTTTCACCGTAAAGCCTCCAGAGATGACAGTCTAAGCACAGAGAGGTAGATGAGGAGTTCAGGTGGAGCAGGTATGTGTAGATATATTGCAGCAATTTTAATGACATGGAATAATATGCTGCATTCTTCTCTGTCCTGTTTCTCATTAAGCCAATGTCCAGGTATACCAAATAAGAAATATTTTGGTTCAGTGCACATTGTTGGAAGTAAGATGAAAGAACTAGGTCTGTAGCTTGCTGGCATCTGAAGGAAAAAAAAAAAAAAAAAAGAATTAACTTTCCCATCTTTTTCCCCCTGACACAGAAGCAAAGCCTGCTATTTTGAGTTCTGCAAAACAGCAGCCTTGTTTGTTCATGAGATCAAGTTTCGTGAAGCGTATCCATGACAGTATTCATGTTTTCTTCTAGAAAAAAACCCTGCACTACCAGGGTAATAACGGTAGGGGCATTGCTTTTCATTTTGTAATCAGGGATTATTTTTTTTTCAGATGGGAAGTTCTTTTGTCATAGCTTGTTCCAGCCAGTTCTTGCTAGTAACAATTTGTTCTGTCCTCTTGTTTTGCTGTAACCCAAACTATTTGGAAACAATGCAAGACATCCTGTAGTTCAGGATCCATTGGAACAGTGAACTTAAACCTCTCATGCCCAAACTAAAACAAGGATCATCACATGCTTATGCAAAGCTGCTTAAAATAGTGTCTGGATTTTGTTTGTTTATCATGATTCTCACATTTAAAACAAAACAATTTCTCCTGTCCTTTGTACTATGTCCGTACAGATAAACTTGCGTTTCTTAAATGACTGTCAAAACCCTCAGTTAATAGCATTATTTGCTGCTGTTCTCCAAGCTTTTCTTAGTGTAGTAATCTCTTCTGTAGTAGTAGTCTTACCCTTGTCACCATCATCTATGAAAATTCCATGCTACAATGTTAAATTTGGGAACTGTAATATACTTGACTGTAAACCTGGTGAATAAATAGACCCAGCATACCACTAAGTCAAAATCCAGCTGACTGTGTTTGGCAGAATTGAGTCAGCTACAAAGAAGTGTGTGCTTCCATTTTTTGGGTGAGTCTTTTCGTCCTGGCCCTTTTCAGAACCTTTCTGCCATAGTTGAGCCTCCCAGCGCTGCAGATGCACTACCCGGCCTTGCTGCGCAACTCTTCGTGGCTTAACTGATATAACCTACGTTGAACCACAAGCCTCTGAAGTAAAGTTTCCTAGCTAAGGCTTTAGCAGCGTAGTATGCAGTGCAGATTAGGACACACAAGCCAAGCTGTGATTTTTTTTTTAATGTTTTTGGTCAGCAAATTATATCTGCTTGTTTTCTCCCACAAAACTGCCTCTTGTGACACCCACTGGCATAGAGAGTTGTGAAGATAAGGTATTTAATCCTTTATGAGATTCCTTAGACTAGACAGCAACCCTCTCTCAAGTTAGAGGGTCAAACTTGGTAGTTGTGGATGGAGAAACACGGCATGAATGTGCATGGACTGGGATTGCGTGGTCAGGAATGGGAATTCCTTTGGGTGACGTCTCATGTTGCTGTGATGTTTGCAGGTATGCTTGTCCTCATCCCTCTTTTGATCCCAGCTATGTCCGCTCTCTCCCTTCAGCCAGCACTCGTGCTCATTTACGCTTGTAATGAGCCATTCTGTTTATTAAACTGGTGGAAAACACAGTTTCGTTTGATTCAGTTCTGTTGGATTAGTGACCTGAATTGGCTCACTGTAGGATCAAGTCGGCTGTAGTGCTGGTGTAAAGGAGGGAAGAGGGAAATGGGATTTCACTGCCTCTGGTTTAAGCTGCTGTGGAAACCACAGCCTGTGTTACTAAAGGAAATGGAGTAGCCATAGCTCAGTATCCCCTTGACTGCGCTTTGACTTAAACCTATATGATGACACATGGTCCACCAAAGGGGTATTTGCCTCTGTCAGCAGGTGACACAAGCCTTAATTTCTGCAGCATCACGACTACCTCTTGATTAGGCAGGGTCTAGGCTGAAGAAGGCTTCTTTGGGGATGGTGCTGTTACAGCAGCTCCTGCCCAGTTCCTCTGCTTGCATACCCATTGTGTAGCCCAGCCAGGACTATCTGGGGAAGCTGATTTGGAAACAAGTCTACATTTAAAAATAAAAAATAAAAAAAAAAAATCAGAAAATCCACCCAGAGAAGTAGGATGAAGTCGTTTTGGACACTGGTTAACCTCGATCCTGGTCCTGCAATAGTAGTACCAGCACAGGGGGCAGTGCAGGACAGGATGCATAAGCAGGGTCTGGTTAAACCAGTGGTGCATCTGGTAGGAGTAGACATCAAAATTCTCCCTTGTAAGCAA